TGAATATTTTTCTGTAGCCCCATAAGGATTTTTATGATTTTTATTTTGAACTCTCTTTCAGGAAGATTGCTGAGTTCAGTTTCACTTGGCACTCTTTCTGGTGTGTGTGATTTTGGTTTGAAACAGTTTCCTTTGATGTCACATATTTGTAGGTGGCACCCTCTAGTGCCCAGAAGCTCTACTCTCTGGAGCTCCTCAGCCCCTGGAATGATTGCAGGGTTCACAGGCAAGTGGCTCTGGTGCCTGTTGGGAGGAAGGTGGTCTTTTCTGCTTCCCAGCTGCAGTGCCTTTCTCCACTGTCAGGGCCAGTGGGCCAAGCACTCAGGGAGAAGCCTTTGCACTTGTAGCTGCCATAGGTGGGACCACCCTCTGGCTGGTCTGGTGCAATGGTGGGGGCAGCCGGTTTGCGAGCCAGTGATGGCTGGGAGGAAGGAGCAGCAGGCTGCATATTGTGGATGGGTGTCTTGGAGCTGCATAGCCAGCCAGAGGGATGGGGCACATGAAGCTCTTGATAGTTCCCAACCTGCTGCGCAGAGTGTGCCTGGACAATTTTGTCCACCTGTCCTTTGTCCTGAGCAGCAAGCTCTGTGCAGTCCTTGCCCCTTTAGCAGTCTTTTCACTGTTAGGAAGTCTCTCAGACTACCTGCCTTTCTTTTGTCCCAAAGCAGCTGGATGTGGATACCTGTTTTCCACAAGCAGCTGGAATCTCAATTTCTCCAAGTATTCCACCTGTCTTAGCTTTCCAACCTCACTAATCTTCAGAGCACCAATGTATTTAGGTTCATGTTCCCAGAGCAGATCTCCAGGGCTGGGTGTTCAGCAGTCCTAGGCCTCCACCCCCTCCCTGCTCCATTTCTCTTCCTCCCTCTGGTGACCTAGGGTGGGAGATGGGCTTGGATCCATCAGGATCATGCATTTGGTACTTTACACCTTTCCTTGAGGTCCGCTTGTTTCCCCAGGTGTAGACAGTCTAATGTAGCCTTCTTTCCTGTTGTTCTTTCAGGATTTGATGTATTTGTTATATTTTCACATTATATGTGGTTTTAGGAGGAGGTTTCTGTCTCACCTCTCCTGCCACTGTCTTTAATCCTCTCCCAAGAAGAAGAAATTTAAAAATTTAAACATTAGTGAGGAATAAATGTCTCACTATTAACAGATGATATAACTGTATATATAGAAATTCTTTATAAAATTATTCATGTATACATTATTAGAAGTAATAAGTTTTTAGTAAATTGATGGTCAATTTAAAAATCAATTAAAATTTGTAAAAATGTTACTTAAAATTCAATTATATAGATCTGAAAATGAATTATCGTTATTATTTTTCCCAGTCTTTTACCCTAAAATTATGCCCTGATTACAGGAACCAAGAGGAAGAACCTATTTTACTCAGGCCTGTTAGCTGTGGAGTACAGAATAAAGACTACCTCTCCATGTTTTCTTCAATTAATCCTTTGTCCATTCATTCAACATTTTACTAATGCCTACTGTATACCAGACTGTGTTTTGCCTATAAGCTATTCAGAACAAAGTAGAGAATGCCAGACATGGCTGACTATAAAATACACTATATAAAGTAAACAAGAGTATTTGTGTAGAAAGAAGACACAAAGGCAGAAGCAATTTGCTGTCTCAGAGAATTTTAGGAAAGATTTCATAGAGCAGGCAATATTTTTGTTGATCTTTGAATGATTTACTAAGGTTTCTCCCATTCAAAGGAACATGGAAAAAACAAGTCAGAGGGAACAAAATAAAAGTATAGAAGTGTGAAAATCCTTAACATATTTGGTAAACATAAAAGCTGAGAGTGGTTAGTAGATCTTTTGCTTGGTTGATATATACATTTACCCTCATGTACCTGTTATATTTGCAAAGTCTCTGCTGTTTTTATGTTCTGTTCTGAATCATGAAAATAATAGGGTTGATTTTCATGCCTCATAAATACAGAATGAGTTTTTAAACTCTTACACAAGAGCTTCTCCAAGGATACCCTTGTCTATTTCCATAATTCAGCCTAGCCAACTAAAATGATTTTTGACAATTTAAATGATCTAATTCTAAAAAATCTGAAAATTACTTACAACATGATAATGGCTACAATTTTGTGGTGTTTTAAAATAGCTGCAGTACTTAGAAATTTCATGGTTTGTGCAACTTAAACATCTGAATTGTTAATATGGTATTGCAACTTTCTATAAAAGATACAGAAAATAAATTTCTCTGTCATGGAGACTGAAAGTTTGTATAAAGAATTTCTGTACATAATGGTTGTAATTAAGCCTTTGATATAATAAAGCTACACGAGAGCTTCATGTGTCAAGAGGTTGTATTAAAATTATCTATTATATCTGTAACTCCATGATAATTATTATTACTTGATGGAATTACTCAGCAAAGATAGCATAATGGGCGTAAGATATTTTCTGCATCTGCATCTGCTTTATCTTACTGTAACTTTTGCATGTAAAGTTCTCTGGTTTGCATAAATCACTTCCTTATTTATCTTTTAATAATTCTTGCTAACACTGATTAGCCTCAAAAGCCAATGTTTTTGCTTTATTTTATCAGCCAAACTAAATATATAATACATCTGTACTGCATAGTCTTATTTTTTGTCCTAAATTTATAAAAAATGACTATTTATTATGATTTCATTAGTTATTAGATTACTAATAATGACCAATACTCATATTTATTAAATAGTTGCTTCCATCACATTTTTAGTGCTTATAATTGTGAATGATTAAATCAACAAACTCTAGAAAAGATAACTCAATTCTGTGGTCCCTCTATACAGGTTTTAATTTTAGGAAAACAGACTCTCAATGTTGCTTGCTTCCTTGCCAACTGAAAGCACTACCCATTGCCCTCTCTGCAGACCTACCTGAGGAAAAAATAAAGAACCTACATTGAGAACTTTCTGAATTCAGCCCTGTCTCTGTATATATCCTCAAAATGAAACAAATTGGGGCAATTTACTGAAGGTTAAATTCTCTAAATGACACTCACCTAAAATACACAGGGAAATGGGTTAGGAGGCTTAAATTATCAATGTAATTGCCTTAATTCTCTAGGTTGCTTTTGTAAGTAGACACAACTTTATCATATCTAACTGACAATTCCAAATTGGAGGTTTAGGGTTGTTTGTATTTTTACTCCCAACACCCTGAATCATATTTAGTTTCTACATAGCTCAGGTCTTAAAAATAACCCACAGACCTCAATGTAAGAGAGTTCCAGGAGTGAGGTTTTTACATTAATGAGATGCCTGTAGCTTTCCAGTTGCCAGAATCTTTAAATTTGTCAGCATTTTTACCCTAATGGCACAGGAAAGCATTTTGAAGAACTAAATATACTGGAATCACCTTGTGCTTTTGTTCTTAAATATTTGAACATAGAGTGATATTTTGAAATATTTTATTAGTAAAATGTACCTGATCTCTATTAAAAGTTTTCTCTAAGCTCTGAGACAGAGGTGAAAGGAAAGATTATTTATGAGCAAGGTAGTTCAACCCTGTCTAATTCTTGAGTAAGAGTTTTCCAAGTAACCTTCTGTTTATGAGTCAGTAGCTCCTCTGATTTAAGAGGGTGTTACTAGGATAGCATATTCTTGAAGATAGTATCTGAAATACCAGTATTTAAAAAATGATTTTAACAAATTTTTCAGAGTTTAAGATTGCAGAACCTTTCCCTGATACTGTTTCTTTTTTTCTCTTGCTAAACTGTATTGCAAATAAACCTTCTGACAGTTTAAAGGTTTTTCTTTGGCAGCTAAGAAAAACACTCTGAAAAGTTATATTTAGTGAATTTACCCATGTGTAAATATCCTTGAGCTAGTCTGTTATCCTCTGGCATCTGGAAGAAAGGTGCTATTGTTTTAGAATCTGTGATTGAAGTATAGAATAATCAATTCAGAGATACCCTGGGGGGAAGATTCACTCACATATGTGGTGGAAACTTGGAATCCCTGGGTTTTTTTAGAATTTTTTCCTACAGATGAAGAGACAGAAGAGTTCATGCCTCAGTACAACTGCTAGTGACATCAGTTCCCATTCATGCCATCTAATAGTTCGACCATCAGTTTGTATCTGAGACTACTAACCTTAAGTTTTCTAAGAAAACTGCTTTTTGTTAATCCCTCTGTTACTATTACTTTCCTTACTTCTGGGTCACAATAGCTGGACAGCTATTTCATTTGCAAGTGCTCTGGCTGTGTGACTTCTGCTGCTCTACACCAGGCTATCACCAAGATATTTCCAGGGACGCATCTTCAGATTTAATTCTGTCAAAACACTCTATAGTTTATTCAGAGCTCCTCTTCATTTCTTGCAAAGCAGTGTTTCCTGAGCTTCTCCATGAAGAATCTGTAATTCCTGGAGATCATGATAGATTTGCAAGACCAGAATTTGTGTTGTACATAGTCATGAATATAGTGGAAGGCCAGTGAAAATGTACAATTATTTTACCATTAGTTTTATTTAAACAACATTTTCTCTTCTACTTGTTGAGTAGCAATTAACTAAGAGCAGCTGTGTCTCATGGCTTTCCACTGTGTCTGAAACTGTAGGGTGGTGGTTACAGGTAAAAACACTGCAAAAGGGTGGATAATAGACGACTCACTTTCTGTCTGCTGTGACTCCCCTGAGATTTTGCTTGCAGGGCCCAGCTGTATATACAGACATGATGGAATTTGGTTTGTGAGGAACCCACAAAAATTACACAAATAACTCAGATTTTTAATGAATAATACAGACATGCACCTGCTTCAGGAACTTCATAGATTAGTCTTATAACCAATATAAAAGCCACTTGGAATTCAATTATATGGCTGCAAAACAAAATAAGGCTGGCTACACTTTTAGAACTGGTATCAGCAAAATGTTAACTAGTTCATGGAGCAAGCTTTCTTTGTAGGGTGTTTCTGTTTGCTTTGCTTCTGTCACACTTACCATAAAGTCATAATATTCTGCTCATATTATTATCTACTATTCTTGCAGCTGGAGCCACTTGCAGAAGATATTCTCCACCAAACCCCGAATAAGAATGCTGTTATTTCTTTACAGAAGATCATTGAAATTCAAAGTATGTCTTCAAGGTTTTTTATTTTAATTTCTAATCAGGTACAAATAATTAAACTTATACTGTGAACTAGAGCACATGAAAAAACATATGTAAGTTTCTCAAATATGAGAAACATATTTAGAGTTATCGTAATTTGCACATATTATGTATTCATACCTAAATGTGTTATGGCTTTGCTCTTAATGTGACAATCTTTCCTTACACTGCTAACATAATTCAGAGACTCTAGATTTAGATTCTGCATTTCCCATATTTTCCAAGTACTTGGATTTTTTCCCATTACTACCACTAAGCATCTACCCAAACAATTAAATTAATATAGAAATTGTGATTACATTGTTCAGTCTTACCTACAGGTAAGTTATCTCCTAATAATGTTGGAATTCAACAATCATTTACTGGTTTTAAGTTTTTTGGGAGAGGAGAAAGTTAATGAGAAAGCCTCACTATTAGAAAATCCAACTAGACAAAGGGTAAGTCAGAGACTTCTTTACTGTCTAAATCCCTTCACATTGTTGTTACTTTGTAAAGAGCTATTCTTTTTAGATGATAACATGTACACACATATACAGAAACACATTGAAATCAAGCATGAATGTTAGCACAAAGGGGAAAACCAAATTAAGTGTGATGTGAAGTAGGGTCAGAAAAACACTTAGCATTGCTTCTGTCCTGTAGAAGCACTTTTTTAATTGGAAATAGTTGATACACAATATTATACAATATTTCAGATGTATGACATAGTGACTCAGTAATCATATTCATTAGTAATGCTCACCATGCTAAGTGTAGTTAGCCTGTTACCATACCAAGGTATTACAACATTTTTGGTTATATTCTGTATGCTGCGCTTCTATTCCTGTGATTAATTTATTTTATAATTTGAAGTTTGTACCTCTTTATGCCCTTCTCCTATTAAGCCTGTCTCCCACCCACCCCCTCCTCTATGGTGACTAACAGTCTGTTGTCAGTATTTATGGATCTGTTTCCTTTTTATTTGTTTTGTTTTTTAGATTCCACATATTAAGTGAAATCATATGGTATTTGCATTTTTTTGAACACCACTGGAGAAGCCCCAGCTATCTCTCTGAGCCCTTGCCTTTGCTTGCTCAGTAGTAATTTGGAGATACCGATCTGGTTAAGGTTCTATACAATTCATTCATCTGATGCTGTGGTGACTAAAATTTATTGTTCCTGTGTATGTTCTGATCATATCGCTTTCAACAAGCATTCTTGAGTACTTAGTACATGTTAATACATGATAACTTGATCAGTTATCAAGGCACAGAGGTTACTGAAGAAGAAGGAGGTAGAGTTTCCAGCATCAAGGAGTTTACAGTCCAGTGAAAGAGAGACAACAAAATAGAGCATTCCAATACAGGGTCCTGGGGTGCACTGAGGTCACGGAGAAGGAGCAGTCGCTTTCTTAAGTATCTTTCAGCTGGATGAGAGGTACTGGAAAGTAAGGAAGGTTCAAAGAAGGCTTCTTGGCAGTGATAGGACCTGAGCTTGTTCTTAAGGACCGAGCAGGATTTTGGCCAGATGAAGAGTGAGTATTTTGAAGGGGATCACACAAACAAAAAAGAGTCAGTGTTCACATACATGTGAAAAGTCATAGTTTGTGTATATCTTCAGAAACTGTACTGTTGTCTTTTGTGTTGGATTTAATTTCCTAGTAATAACTTTCTTTCTGCTGCGTGATTTATTTTTCCCCTTTCACTAATGACATTTTCAAGTGACTAGTACAATCTGCTCTAGCCAGACAAACTTGTTTGACTCTTGAAAAGGATTCATTCCATTACCAAACTTATTTTATGAGAATTTTGCCACTGTGGATTGTGAATATCTGTCTTCTGTGCCACAATGCTTTTCACACCAACCAATACTGACTACTTACCCCATTTAAAAATTCATTTCCTCCTAAATTCCTATTGAGGATTCACCCAGTGCTTGTTAATCCAGTGCTTTCACACACCCTGAGCACTAGCATGTGGATTTTAATTAGTAGTGTGTTTATTTAAACCCTTTCTATTACTTGAGTTTTCTTTGTGTATTTTACAATCTGTTAGTCATGGTTCCTTAGTTAACTGATAATTATCAGGAGGACAGAAATCCCATCTTCTCACCTCCTGCAAGGAAGGGTTGGTAGCAGGGGAGATGTTTAATCTGCATGGGAAGCCTAGAAATTGAAATCAGGCAGATTTGAATAGGAAGGATTTGAATAACTCTTCAAGGCCCTAGGGAATAAAAGCTTGCATTAAAGGGTGCTTCTCGAGTGTTCCTCCTTCTGAGTCATGGATGTATGATACAGTGTACTGTTAGCTACTCAGCAACCATGCCTTTTCACTTCTGATCAAAAGAAGCCTGATTTTACTCATTAATACTGGCTATCATATACCATGCAACTCAGGGGAAGATTGTCTTATGCCTAGTTCCAGGCAAGCTGTTCATAGTCTAAGGCTAAAGTAGTCAACCCACTTAACAGTGATTGATTAAGGAATGTATACACGACCCAGTTCTCCCTTTCAGAATCAAGGCTGGCTCCTTGGACATTCAACCTGGCCAGTCACATAGGCCCCATACTTAGAAGGGCCCTATGCATGGCTTAATGCTCTTAACTGATGCTTGCTTGAAATTCTTACCAAATTTAAATAAGGGGCCCAGATTTTCATTTTGTACTGGGCCCCACAAACTATATAGCTAGTTCCTGATGAAAATCAAAATGCTGGTGATGTGAAATAATATTTACCAAGAAACACTGATGGTAGCATCACCAGAAGTTGAACTCAATTTGTGGCTGAGAAGGCACCAAATGGTGGGTTGAGGTTGTAAAGGGAAAGACAAAATGAGAGTGATCTCTTGCCATTTGGGTCATGGGAAAAAAAATCAGTACGGAGAAAGTGGTTTGATACTATGACTTTGCCCACTGTGTGGTATATTTCCTATGTAGTTCTTTGAACCATGTACCTTTAGGGCTGGTCTTTCAGACTAAGAAACTGAAAGGAGCTGCATAAAGTCCATAAAGCAATAAATTAAAGTGGGTATTTCAGAGTAACAAACATCATAGTGGCTTGGGAAATTAAAATTATGGGCTCCAGGCTTAGCAAACAATGCTATATTTCCTTATAAACTATAAAATGGTACTCTTACTTTTACTTTTCTCTGTTTTAGAACCCACTCTTCCATTTCAAGTGCTTTTATGGGAGTCCAGTCCCTTGATTGAGTTCCCCATTTTCCCATTGGTGGGGAAGGTAGTTGGGACTCACTACACAATTTTACGGATTCCAGTGCAAAATAAAAGTGTGGGAATACTTCCTTGTTAAGAAATTGTTTATAATTTCAAGCAGGTGACAGCAGAGCATCAACCAAGCACGGGGGCCCTTTTGAATGTGGGGACCTTTGTGGCTGCACAGGTTGCCTGTTTATGAAACCAGCCTTGAAATAGCCTTTGTTTTAACAAGAGTACCTCCTCTGCACATATGTTCTGAGCATCACAGAAGTGTCTTCTTTTAGCTCTAGAAGATGTTTGAATTTCAGCCCACTTTTTAGCCCAGGTTCTGAAGAATTCTTCTGTGCTGCAGTACAGAAAACTATGGGACTACAGTATCAGAAAACTATGTAAATTTTGAGAAGCAGGCCTTGTAGCATGTGGGAAACATTCAGGCAGGTTCCTAGATAGCCTTGTCCCAAGGCAGACAGACACGAGGTGCTGACAGGCCCTCTGAATTTCTCTTGGAGAACCGAGCCCCCAGCTGAGGGTGTGCAGGCGCTGAGGCTGTGATTAGCATTGGCCCTTTGCCTGGCCACGTGTATGTGAGTATTTTGCAACAGGATTATCTTTGTTGTCCTGTCCTTGTTTACATTACTCCTTTTGCTGAGAAGAAAAGGCCTTACAAGGCAACAGCAGGGTAGCCATTTCTCCTGACAGGTAGTAAAGACCCCTCCTTGACAGGGCAGGGATTTCATCTCAAGATGGTGGACGTATAGCACAGCAACCATTTTTCATATGACCAAAGGGAAATAATGGCTAAGAAGCTTCACATTTGCCCATCCTGTTCACTCTGCTAACCAAGTCTTCTGCCTCAGCTCTATTAAGATTTTACAACCAGCTCAGATGTTATTTCTGTTGGGAAGCCATCTATGAGTCCCCCTTTATCCCTATTACAGATTAGGTACATTTCCTGTGTGTTTTCATAGTATAGTTGTCTTTGTTAATGCTCTTTGTTTTTAATTGCTTTCTCCTTTGCACAGTGTCTGGCACATAGTAGATGCTCTGCAAATTTGTTGTATGAATAAGTAAGCCAATCCATCAGTGTTTGCCACTTTTTTTTCTTAGCCCAGATTGATTTGATTTTTTTAACAATCTAAGGTAATTATACTCCTTGGCTCGCCCATGCAGAGCAAGAAATTAAGAAGAGCAGGCAAAATATTTGAGAGCTCATTTCTTCTCTTTTCACAACCCACAATGATTAATAATTACTAAGTTAGGAAGAACATGAATTACTTGTGAGCTATCATTTCCATCACTGAGCTTGGAGGTGGCAGTTCTCAGAGCCGAATCTAGTAGTTAGCTGCCCAGCTGTGATTACCAACAAGTGATGCCAGGAAAGAGTCAGCCCAGAGTAGGACAAAGGACCCTCATATATATGTTTCCTTTCCTGAAACCCATCCTAATGACTTACAGAGTCCTTTGACCTCTTCCCTTCTTTTCATAGCATGGTGAGAAGCAGGATTGCCAAATGTGATTTTTCTTACCAGTCCTGGCCTATGATAACATTTTCACTGATTTTGAAGGGAAGAACTGTGAAGTGAGTTTTCCATAAAACTAAATTTATTTAGGTTGAAAGACTGTAATTTTAAGTTCTAAAAACATGTAGTGCATGATATTGATATTGATCTATGAAACCCCAAAATATGAAAATCATAAGTATAGAGCCATGGTTTCCTTTTATTTATTTAAAATTTTTAGTAAGAAAAGTACTCCTTTTAAATGTTAACCA